TAATGACTCGCTGTGTTGACCCCTGACCTGAGACGTGCCGAAAGGAGAAGAAGAAGAAGAAGTCATAGTACCGCTTCCAACCAGTTGGCTTCCATCTTTCAGTCTGGTGGTTGGGATGTCAACCCTAAAATATTCAATGAGATTTTGCTGTATATTCCCCAAAGTCTTAAATACCGTATTTTCTGAACTATAAGACACTTCGGATTATAAGGCACACCTTCAATCAATGGCCTATTGAAAAACATTTTTTAAATATAGGGCACACTGCATTATAAGGCGCATAGGATAGAAGCTAGAATAGTGGCTGCGGTTGCGCTATGCATCCACTGGATGGTGCTATGCTAAGGGATTACAATACAATACAGTTTTATTTATGTCGAGCCGTCACAACCGCTGCAGCTGTAACAATGAGAACAACAATGAGTCACAAACATGGACCTGAAACAAATACAAGTGGCATTACAAAACTATAAATGAAAGACAAAAGTTCTGAAGACAATTGATTCAACAAAGAGGCACACAAACCTCATGGGGTCACATCGACAAGGGGCTAAATATCCTTCGAAGTCTTGCTTGTCTCCTTCTTCCTTCGTTTAGACAGTAGTTGACTTTGCTTTTGGTATTATCTTCGTTTCATAATGGCTGCGCAGAGCTCACAAAGTAGTTGTCTGTTTGAGTGTGTGTTGGCGAATTATTTGGATGTCAATTAGTGTCGGGCAGAACCCTTTTAGGTTACAATTGGTTCCTGCTCATAATCACCACCAGATGGCAGATAAACACGAACAGGGAAACTACTCAATGGGGAATATAAAGAGACTGTAAATCCATATATAAGGCGCATCGGATTATAGGGTGCAGTCGGCTTTTGAAAAAATTGAATGAAAATTAAATACTTTTAGGTGCGCTTTATATTGTGGAAAATACGGAAATGTGTGTGTTCAGTTTTTTAAAAATGATTCAAATGTATTTTTACGCTGTTTTGTTGAACAAAGAAAAATAAGACAAATTGTAAATTTCTTAGCTGTCAGTTATTATTTCGCTGCTTTTTAATGAAGTTTTGAACCATTGTTTTCTTATTTTTGTCAGCTTTTAAAGTTACAGAAAATAACTGACCAGTTTTGTCAGCCTCTGCTTGTCCCAAACAATATTCTTGTTTCAGTAAAATAATTTGCAAATAGGCCTTCAGTCATTGTAAAGCTTCACATGAAACTGTCTGAAACAATGGAATGCCAATTGCGACGACGATACATCAGCAAAATACGGTCATGGTTTACCGCCCACAAAAAGGGTGCGACCAACTGAAAAAGCTGGTCGCACCAGTGTGAGCAGTGCAAAAAGTTGGATGCGGAGCCCTGATTTTAATGATTTATTGCACTTGTGACAACGTGTGTGTGTGATTCTGCCGTCCCCGGGGCGTGCTTTGAGCTGTTCAATGACACCCAAAAACGAAACAAACACCGAAAAGAATTACACACATTGTATATTTAAAGACACATGGTTGGTTTTTAAAACATCACGAGTGAAATGGTGACGGGAAATGAGCCATTACTTCAGGAGTGATATTCCCTCAAATAACATTTACACACAAACGTTTGGAAACAAAGACACGGGTAAGATAAGATGACATGAAGGCACAAATTCTTCCCAATCGGTGAAAACCGAGTTGTATTTTAGTTCAATGGCCACTTCTGTTCGCTGTAGTTATTGGTTGTCAAGGAGGCTGAAATCCCATATTTGGAGCCGGTTAGTCATTTGTGGTAAAAGTGAAAACATTGGGTGTTAAAATTTGGAGTACCGTATTTTCCGGACAATAAGTCGCACTTTTTTTTTTTCCAGTTTTGGATACGATTTATACTCCGGAGCGACTTAGGTGTGAAATTATTATATCATTTCATGTGTTATTTTCACATTAAACCGCAAGAGGGCGCTCTAGACCTGCGTTGATAAGTCAACGATGAGTTTGACGCAGGAAGCGCCGCATTTTCTACCTCCGGAGTTCGCGGAGCTCTTTAAAAGTGACACGGATGATGAAGATTTCGTTGGATTTGGAGTGACACTGATGCTTTGGGAAACTTGTTAGCATGTTCTTTATGCTAGCGTTATCTGAATAACTTTTAGTTTCGTGAACATACCAAGTACGTTCTCAGTTCGTTGTTTATGCGTCATGTGACGTTAGCATATCGTACATTTTATTTTTATTTTAAATTGCCTTTCAAGATGACACGTCCGTTCTTGTTATTGGATTTTATGAAATACATTTCCGCAAAATATGCGACTTATACTCCAGATTCTTCTTTATGCTGCATTTTATGGCTGCTGCTGCGACTTATAATCTGTAAAATACGTTCATACAAAACTCCCACGCCCAGTTTGCCTTTATACTCACGCACAACCCACACGCGTTGTTTTGAAAATGTCTCTCAGTTTCACTCCAAGTCGGAGGGCGTGGCTACGGCTGGCACACCCCCGTGGTGGGGTTTCATTTGCGTTTCGCCGTTTTCACTTTGCGGCACAAGGACCAAAGCCACGACAAGAACGAAAGGGACTACTCGATGACTGTGTGATGTCTTGAACCGTATTGGGAAATTGATTAAGAAGGTAGCGGTGTAGCGACATGATGCGCGGTGCCTTTATGACAGTCTGCAGTCGCTTACCTTCAAAGCGTGTCTTTCTGCGTCTGCGACCACTTTGCGAGCGTGCCACAGCCGTGCACGACTTTGACAATTCACGACTGATTGGCTGCGGGCTGACTGATTCATCGGTCGGGCCCTAGTCTCCGTTTCTAATGGTCCTCTCTGGCTTTCTCCCATCTGGGCTATTCTTGTCCTCACAGAACAAGATGTTCAACTACAGCCAGGCGTGCGCCGGCGGCGCAAGCAATCAAGTCAATTCCAGCCGCTACAAGACGGAGCTGTGCCGGCCCTTCGAGGAGAACGGCGCTTGCAAGTACGGCGACAAGTGCCAGTTCGCCCACGGCATGCATGAGCTGCGCAGCCTGGTCCGCCACCCCAAGTACAAGACCGAGCTGTGTCGCACCTTTCACACCATCGGCTTCTGCCCGTACGGCCCCCGCTGCCACTTCATCCACAACCCCGAGGAACGTCGCGGGCCCCCGCCGCTTTCGCCGTTCAACAAGATGGGCTGCCCTCGCCTCCAGCACAGTTTCAGCTTCGCGGGCTTCCCCAGCTCCGGCGGCTCCCAAGACAGCCCCACCTCGGTCACGCCGCCTCCCGCTCGCTCCACCGAAGACCTGACCGAGTGGTCCGCCAATCCCTTCACCTGCTCAAGGCAGGAGATCGCCGGCCTGTTTGGCCCCGGTTGGGGGGCCCCTCCTGCGTGTGAGCCTCAACTTCCGGCCCGGCTTTCCCCGACGATCTCCTGTTTTTTCCAGCCGGCCTCGGAGGGGCCCCCCAGCCCCCTCAGCTCTCTGTCTGACCAGGAGGGTTACCAGAGCAGCCTTGGCAGTCAGAGTGACTCCGAGTCGTCCGCCCTCCTGGACGCGTCCCGCCGCCTCCCGATATTCAGCAGGCTCTCGGTTTCCGACGAGTAAGAAGATTTTTTTTTCGTGGAGCGACAAGAGCGAAGATGAGGACACCCCCCCCCCCCACACACACACACACACACACACACACACACATACAACTCCTCAGCTCTGTTTACAGAAGAACTCCGATATCCAATATCAGATGCCTTATCTTTTGAGGGTTTCACTTTTTCCGGTCGTGTTTTGCACCCCTTTTCAATTGCCGTCGGGTCTCTTTAACAAAACGAACAATTGCTAACCCAAGTATCGTCTCCGCGCGCGCGCCCCGGCCGCGGCGCCGTGTCGAAAAGAATGTGAAGCATTGCGAAATGTAGCTCCGATTTATAAAGCGGTAAAGCGCGCACTTTTCATCGGAAGCGGCAGTAACGCGAGGGAGGGCAGCTGTTGCGCCGCGTCTGTCGCCGTTGTTGCCAATCTCCGGGCAGCCCCCGCGTTATTGCCCGTGCCACAACCTTTGAAACCTCCCCGTGAAAGCTCAGTGTTTAATTTGTAAGGATCGCCTCAGCGAAGTGAACAAGCGGACATCAGGTGAGATTATTTTTTTTGTTTGTTTGTTTTGTCAAGCTAACAATCGGCCTCATCAAAACCCAGTTTCTTTAAAATCACGGCGAGTGAGCGCGCGCTGTTGTCGATGTCCGCTAGTCACACGTAGCTCCTACTTCGCAAGGCTGGAATCCCGCAGCTGTTCCGAGGACAGAAATGACAAGACGGTTTTTGGTGCAGGCCCCGCAGCGTGAAGAATCATTTTCCGGCGATTTCTCGTTGCCACGGGTTCTGTTTTGTTCCGAGTTTGTTTGATCACGGAGCCCCCCCCCCCGGGGCAATATTAGCTGGGCGCAGGAGGCGAGCTAAATTTCTAAAGTGTCAGCAGACGATGTTGAGCAGGCATTCGGAAGGTGCGGCCTTTGAGCTTGGCCAAGTTTTGCTCCTAAATGTTGAGTCATCGCTTTTGGTCTCTCCTCCCTGTCTTGGCCAGCTGAAGTGTTTCGCGTGATTCCCCCTTTGTTCATATCGATTGTATATTATTATTATTATTATCATTATTGTCTAGTTTATTCCATAGAGCCCTAAAGCGTCTCGGCTTTGGTTGTCACTGCTTATTTATCAAAGTATATTTATTGCTGATCTTAAGCATTTTTACGTTGTATTTATCTGTTAATGAAACAATAGTATATATTTTTTTTTTCTTTTGTTAAATTATGATCTTTCACAATCGCAAGATTGTGACAATGATTTTTTTTTTTTTTTTTAAATAGGAAAAAACAAGTACAATTGCTCACGGCTCTGAACACACACACACACACACACACACACACACATACAACTCCTCAGCTCTGTTTACAGAAGAACTCCGATATCCAATATCAGATGCCTTATCTTTTGAGGGTTTCACTTTTTCCGGTCGTGTTTTGCACCCCTTTTCAATTGCCGTCGGGTCTCTTTAACAAAACGAACAATTGCTAACCCAAGTATCGTCTCCGCGCGCGCGCCCCGGCCGCGGCGCCGTGTCGAAAAGAATGTGAAGCATTGCGAAATGTAGCTCCGATTTATAAAGCGGTAAAGCGCGCACTTTTCATCGGAAGCGGCAGTAACGCGAGGGAGGGCAGCTGTTGCGCCGCGTCTGTCGCCGTTGTTGCCAATCTCCGGGCAGCCCCCGCGTTATTGCCCGTGCCACAACCTTTGAAACCTCCCCGTGAAAGCTCAGTGTTTAATTTGTAAGGATCGCCTCAGCGAAGTGAACAAGCGGACATCAGGTGAGATTATTTTTTTTGTTTGTTTGTTTTGTCAAGCTAACAATCGGCCTCATCAAAACCCAGTTTCTTTAAAATCACGGCGAGTGAGCGCGCGCTGTTGTCGATGTCCGCTAGTCACACGTAGCTCCTACTTCGCAAGGCTGGAATCCCGCAGCTGTTCCGAGGACAGAAATGACAAGACGGTTTTTGGTGCAGGCCCCGCAGCGTGAAGAATCATTTTCCGGCGATTTCTCGTTGCCACGGGTTCTGTTTTGTTCCGAGTTTGTTTGATCACGGAGCCCCCCCCCCCGGGGTCAATATTAGCTGGGCGCAGGAGGCGAGCTAAATTTCTAAAGTGTCAGCAGACGATGTTGAGCAGGCATTCGGAAGGTGCGGCCTTTGAGCTTGGCCAAGTTTTGCTCCTAAATGTTGAGTCATCGCTTTTGGTCTCTCCTCCCTGTCTTGGCCAGCTGAAGTGTTTCGCGTGATTCCCCCTTTGTTCATATCGATTGTATATTATTATTATTATTATCATTATTGTCTAGTTTATTCCATAGAGCCCTAAAGCGTCTCGGCTTTGGTTGTCACTGCTTATTTATCAAAGTATATTTATTGCTGATCTTAAGCATTTTTACGTTGTATTTATCTGTTAATGAAACAATAGTATATATATATTTTTTTCTTTTGTTAAATTATGATCTTTCACAATCGCAAGATTGTGACAATGATTTTTTTTTTTTTTTTTTACAGTAATGTATTACACTGCAATGACATTTCTGTTAATGCATTTTTTTTCCCTCTTTGTTTTGGAACGTGATCTCAATTTAAAGCTAAGCGCACCGAGGTGGAGCATTTTTTTTTTTTTTTTTTTTAAATGACCTCCTGCACCTCCCGCATGTTGGACCGATACTTGGCCCAGTCTTGCACGCAAAGGGCGCAGGGTGGTATTAATGCTCGATTACAGCCGTTGGAATTTTTGCACTAAATATTTGGGAAACGTAACTCTCTTGTACGTCACGTGAATTGACATAAGAGAACAATATCTTATGCATTGGTTAGGTTGTATCGACGAAGTGACCAATGCTAATTCTTTATTCTTTTTTTTTTTTTAAACATATGAGCCTCGTTTACTTTACCACCTGCACCGTGCATTGACAAATGCTGCTTACAAAGTGTGTTTTAGGCCTCGAGAATGTAGACTGGTTCTGGAACAGTCCTGTCCTCATAGCAGTAACTGGGATTTGGGATTCATGTCATGTGATGCATCACGGAGTCTGTCGGGTGATTAGAGGAAGATTTCTCAGCTCATTTTTGTTTTTTTTAAAGAGTAAAACAAGCTTGCCTTTTTTCTCTATCACGCACAGATGTACGAGCACTTTTTGTCTTGATGATGATGATGATGATGATGTAAAAGGTTATTTTTGACCACTCTTTCCCATGAAGTGCCTAAAAAAAAAAACATTCCAGGTTTCACAGGTGTTGTGCCTTCCTATTTTTTTATGGTATGAATGCTTAAAAAGCCCTGAAATGTATTCCTGTAGGTAAAGAGGTTAACAGCATTGGAATGCAGCCGTGGCTGCTCACTACAGTAGCGTCTTTGTTTAATGGTTGATTTTGTGATGACAGATTGCAGTTAAAACCAATAAAACGTGTTTATATTGGATGTGTTAGTTTCTGTTTGTGAACAACACGGCACAGATTCAAAGGTTGTCCTGATTATACCAACACCGGTGCTTAAGATCATCCCGATGTTTCACTTGGAGATAAGTGTCACTTAACTCTTTACTCCCAAAGACGTTTTTAAACGTCTTTTCAGACTTGGTCCAGAATTGGCTGGTACTGAATGAGTTAACAGTCATTCAAATGGCTCACTGGCCACCGCATTCAGGCACATCTGTACAGCTACCGTATTTTCCGCACTATAAGGCGCACCTAAAAAGCATTTGATTTTCCCAAAAGCCGAGAGTGCGCCTTACAATCCGATGTGCCTTATATATGGATCAATATTCTGATTTATTTTTTACAACGTAGTATTTAAAAGTTCTGTAAAGTGCTTTGTTACATCTGCAGTGGTTGTGAAAGCTCTGTATAAATAAAGCTGGATTGAATTGTATTCCCTTTAGTGTAGCTCCATCTAGTGGATGCATAATGCAACCATAGCCACGATTGTTGCTTCTATTCGCCTTATAACGTGGTGCGCCCGATATATGAACAGTTTTAAAATAGGCACTTCATTGATGGTGCGCCTTATACTCCTAAGCGCCTTATAGTGCGGAAAATACGGTATTCAAATTACACTTATTACCCAAGCAGTTTTTGCACATGAGCAGAGTGTAAATATAAAATAAGAGTTTTGCTTGATGCTTTTCAAAAAAAGGTTTTCATCTGGAGTCGCAGTTTATTGTGGGTGTTTTCTTGAGAGGTGTTCAGCACAGTGCCTTATAAGCCTACCGTACTCCCAAATGCATCTAAAAAGCTTGTCATATGAAAAATGGTCCAGCTCAATATAATGCAATATTTCTAGGACAACCACGTTCACATGAGCTCAAACGGTAATATTTAAGACAGGATTATACGGTAGGGCAAGGAGCCATCCTTGGTAACGTCAACCTGAGTGGACGTGTATGCCACATGTCGAACGTGGCCTTTAACTCAATAGAAAAACAAAACAAGGGGGAAATAAATGTATAATCATCTGGTTGCTTAAATATGCACTCTCAAACTAAAACTGCTGGATGTTGCAACACCTGGTGGCTTTTACTATACCACTCTCTTTTTGGGTAGGGATTGATACTGTATCACTGTGGATCCATCTTGATGTGGATTTTGGAGGGATTGTTCAGTTTCTTTATGATGTCACTGTGAAGCCATATTTTCTCCGCTTGATGACTGCCCTCACCTTTCCACTGACGGAGTACATTGAATGCTTTGGAATTCATTTTGTTCTCTTAGCTGATACCATTTGAACGGAAACTCTTTGAAGATCGTGGTTTATGGTGAAACGTATCTGCAAAAATCTCACAAACCCACAAGAACATCTGATCTTTATTTGGGGTTAATCGGGTGCTTCAGATGGTGGCAAGTGTGTGTTTACTCCCATATAAGATAACACTGAATATGATTGGTGAAGGCGACTGGTTAGCACGTTGGCCTCACAGTGCTGAGGTGCAGGGTTCGATTCCGGCTCCGGCCTTCCTGTGTGGAGTTGTCACCGTGCTTTCGTGGGTTTTCTCCGGGTACTCCGGTTTCCTCCCACATTCCCAAAACATGCATGGCAGATTAATGGAACACTCTAAATTGTCCCTAGGTGTGACTGTGAGTGCGAATGGTTATTTGACTATGTGCACCCTGCGATTGGTTGATGACCAGTTCAGGGTGTCCCCACCGCCGACTGCGATAGGCTCTCTCTCTACATATATGCACAAACATAGAAAAAAATATATAGTTTAGTGGGGGAAAAGTTTTAAAATTAATTTAACTTGGTCCTCATATTTGTATATCACAAAAAGCATTTTTTTCGCTCTACGCTACCATTCTGGAGAAACTACTGTTGTCATGCTAAAATGAAACAACTTTAATAAAGATTATTTTTATGAGCCATATTGGCGACCCGGCCCTCTTCATCTCTTATTTCCTCAGAGATGTGTCGACGATTGAAAGCTCAGCAACAAAGTAAACGCGCACACTTATTTCCTCCTCTGCAAGGCTTCTCAGCTCTGAACTCGACATTTCTTTTTGTTTGCACTCCATGGCACCCCACCGCCCCACCCCCACAGTTTCTTTCACCCCGCCAGCTGTTAGCTGACATGCAGCAAAAACAAACAGAGTAAAGAACTATGTGAACGTTGGCAGGAAAAGGCTCCTTTTAATTGCCCCAGAGAGAGTGACATCATGATGAGATTGGGTGTCGGGTGGGGGGAGGGGTTAGGAGAAAGACAAAGTTAGGCTGCTTTGGGACAGATTTATTTATTTACCTCTTGTGGCTCATGATTGCGAATGGCCAAAATAAAGGGGGACCCATGATAATGGCAATAATGTATAAGCAATAAGAAAGTTGTTTGAATGACACGGCTGACATTTATTGATACTGGGTTCCTTTCCATGTGTGGAATGCCGTTAGAGAGGCAAGTTCTAGTTTTTAAAGAGGACAAGAGTTAAGAACAATTCCAAGCTCTATGATGGTGACAGATTGAACCCCCCCACCCACCCTGTGGTCTGACCCACATTTAATTTAATAGGCTCCGGAGGGATGTGTATGCGTCCTTATAAAGAAACATGGATCTGTGAGAAAGGAAAAAA